ATTATTGATAAACTACCATGGGTTCTTATTGCCAACAAAGTTAATTTGATATAGGCTACACAACCAAGAATCATTTCCAAAGAACAAGGACTGTATCTTTGCAAGTCACAAAGTAAAACCAAGAAATCACTTTATCACCAAACATTTTATCTGAAAAAGTTGAAGAGGTCGCCTTGTGGTCTCCTACAAATTCAATTAGCATTATGTTCAACAAAGGAGGACTACAGTGAACTCAGTTGTTGTCTTGTGGAGAGAAGAGTACTTTCTTGAGGAGCAGAAGTGGCATGGGACCATCTATGTGAATTTTCAACCTACCAACCAGGAGAATGAGCCATAGGATTGAAACCCCATCAGGAAATCCTGGTTTTATTTTCCTGCCCCTCCCCTCATGGGGTTCTGTGGGACAGGACTGCCCCCTGGTCTGCAGGATCAGCAGAAGCAGGCCTGGTTCTCCAGGGAGATGCTTACATTGCTAGAGAGGAAGTGAATCTGCGAAGACATGACTCAGCTCCAGAAGATTCAAGCAGGTGTAGTTGGAAAGCCAAGTTGCTCTTTGGTTTCCTCATTAGAAATAGTCTTGGAAAGGTGACTGGTCTGGAGGGTGTATTGAGGGCAAAGTTCTCATTTTCATCCTTCTAAGGCCTTATAGTTTGAAGGAGATCAGGACTCCCTTGGGAGAATTGGGCAACACTGTTCTGTTCTTGCTTCATTCTAGGTTTCCTCATAGTTAACAAGGATGGCAGCTATTTCGATTTTAAAGATTCCCTCTCATATTTCTGCTTTGTTATTGTGCAGTGAGAATAATCCTTACCTTATCACCTCTCCTTTATTTTCACTGGATGACTGTCGTTTTCAGTAGTGTGAGATGTAATATGAATCATTCTCTTTTTTATTTAATATGTAGCTTTATTTATTTATTTATTTATTTATTTATTTATTTATTTATTTATTTATTTATTTATTATTTTTTAAATATCCACTTCTCCCAGATGGATCTCTCTCTCCATACTTTAGGGATCCTCGTTGTCATGAGCACTCCTGCTTGTTTTTCTCATTTCCAACCTCCCAAAAGCTTCGTCTGAATTACAGCAGACAAACATGAAAACAAACCAACAAAATCTATCATCCCTCCAAAGGCAAAAATCCGGTTATTTGAGAG